CCTCCCGGTCGGCTTCGAGCTGGAGGCCTCCGAAGAATGCGGCTAAAACTTTTGCGAGATCCCGAGTTAGTTTTGCGAGATCTCGCAAAAGTCCGTCTTAATTTTATTTTCTCCCATGTCCCCTGCGGGGCTCTGTACTCTAGTGTTCTTGCAACAGTTTCCAAATATTTGCTCACAGCAACAAACATGAGCATACATGTCATTTCCCTCTGTTCATGCTTCTATTTGGACTTTTTTGACTAATGGACAAAATTAACAACAATTATCATCAATTAAAATACTAAAAAAATATTTTACTGTTATTGACGATGTCTTCCTGTGTAGGATTGGGCCAAACCAGGCCCGTACGATCAGCCCATGGTTAATACCCTGAAGAGGAGCAAGGACAGGAGAGAGACTACAGATCCCAGCAGCCACCAGGGCGCTGATGTCACCACACCAGGAGAGGAGCCAAACAGGGGCAAAGGAAACAACACTTCAACATCCCCCAAGGTCGGACACAATGACCAGCAAAATGCCAAACAAGTCCTTGAATAGAAAGTCACATGACTAACTGGGAGCATTCTGATTGGACAGACGAATCCCAATAATCCACATATTCCCGTGTATGTGTGTGTGTGTCTGACAGGTGGACAGGGAGACCCATGAGGAGCTGGCCAGAGCTCTGGCCCGCGGCCTCCAGCTGGACATCCACGGCTCCAGCAGAGATTCCCTGCAGGGCTCCAGCGGCTACAGCAGCCAGACCAACACACCCTGCTGCTCAGAGGACACCATCTCCTCACAGGGTAAACGTACTTAACTTACTCCCACCAGATTAATTCAAATGTTCACTTACCTAAATATGGACCCAGAAACAAACAAACTTTCGTTGTATCTCGTCTGATCTATACTCTAAACAGAAAAAATCTACTGAAAGTTAACTTGAATTAAAAAGACTTTAATTATATAATATCTGGGAAATGCTTGAGATCATCAGCAGTTACACCGACTCAAATTCAGTCATCGTGCTAAATTCTCCCCCCTCCTGGTCTCTGTAGTATCGGACTGTGACTACTACTCTGTGGGAGCAGATCAGGAGGTGGAGCAGCAGTCCTCAGACTTCGATAAATCCTCCACCATCCCGAGGAACAGCGACATCACCCAGTCCTACCGCCGCATGTTTCAGTCTAA